CACACACACACTCCTGTATCTGGGGGAGGTCTCTCTAACCCTCTCTCTCACACACACACACTCCTGTATCTGGGGAGGTCTCTAACCCTCACACACAAACACACACACACACTCCTGTATCTGGGGGAGCTCTCTCTAACCCTCTCTCCCTCTCGCACACACGAGTTAGGACACAGACGAGAAGCTCTCTCTCTCCTGTGCGCGTAAGGTCGGACGCTGACTTTTGGAAACCTGACAGACTTGTGAAGGTGCAGAGAGTTTGGAGGAATCCAGGACAACCCGTTCATCCACATTCTGCTTCGTCTTCCGTCAGGTTCAAAACAAATTCAACAGAGCGTCCATTGTCCCCCCTCCACCACCCCACCGGCACAGATTCTTCCGTGTCCTCCCTCCTTGTAAACCCAAAACCAGTTCCCTAATGTCCAGGAGAGGGAGAAAGAGAGAGAGAGGGTGGCGTTAGACACACTGTCCTTCCCCCCTCTCCCTCTGGGACCAGGGGGGGAAGGGAGCTGGTATGTTGTGTCTCACCCATGTGCTATTTTCCTCTCTAAACCCCAACCCCCACCCCCCAGGCTGACACAGAAAAGGACAGACTGCGTTCCCAGCTCCAGGACCAAAAGCACAGTCTCTGGGAGAGCTCCCTGTGCAAGACGGAGCACCGGGACCAACTCCAGAAGCTGCAAGCAAAGGTGGGCTCTTCTTCAGCTGGGCCAACCCTCCCTCTCTCTCTCCATCCCCTCCTTCAGACCCTCCCCTCGCTCCATCTCTCTCCGTCCCCTTCTTCAGTCTCTCCCCTCGCTCCATCTCTCTCTGTCCCCTTCTTCAGTCTCCCCCTCGCTCCATCTCTCTCTGTCCCCTTCTTCCGTCTCCCTCTCGCTCCATCTCTCTCCGTACCCTTCTTCAGTCTCCCCCTCGCTTCATCTCTCTCCATCCCCTCGCCCAGGCTCCCCTTCGCTCCATCTCTCTCTGTCCTGTCCCTCCCTCCTGTCTCCCTCTCACTCTGTCTTCCACCTCCGCTCTCTCTCTGCCTGCCCATCTCTCACTCTCTCCATCCACCTCTCTCTCTCTCTATCACTGACTCTATCACCTTCTACCAGTTTCTCTCTATCTCTCTCTCTCTGTTTGCCTTCCTCTGCCCCCATCTCTCTCCCACCTCTGTCTCCATTTCTCTGTTCCCCCTCTCCCTTCCTCTGGCCCCCTCTCTCTCCCTCCCTCTCCCATCTCACCTTCTCTCTCTCCCTCCCCCCTCTCAATATTAAGATGAGGGAGGAAAGATGTAAAAGGGGCAACTTTTTCACGCAGAGGGTGGTGCATGTATGGAACGAGCTGCCAGAGGAAGTGGGTGGGGGCTGGCACAGTTACAACATTTAAAAGGCATCTGGATGAGGACATGGATAGGAAGGGTTTATGGGCCAAATGCTGGGAAATGGGACTGGGTTAATTTAGGATATCTGCGTCGGCACGGAACGAGTTGGGCCGAAGGGCCCGATTCTGTGCTGTGTGGCTCTCCCACGTCTGTCTCTATCTCCCTCTCTCCCCCCCGCCGTGTCCACCTCTTTCGTACCCTCTCTATCTCTGTCTCTCTCCCCCTGCTCCCCACCCCCCACCCCGCTACCCCTTCTCCCTGCCCCTGTCTTTCCCCCACGCAAACCCCTCTCTGCCACTCCAAACAGATTCAGAAGCAGATGGGAGAGATAGTAGGAACTGCAGATGCTGGAGAATCTGAGATAACACGGTGCAGACCTGGATGAACACAGCAGGCCAAGCAGCATCAGAGGAGCAGGAAGGCTGACGTTTCGGGAAGGGTCCAGGTCCAGCAGCTTTCCTGCTCCTCTGATGCTGCTCGGCCTGCTGTGTTCATCCAGCTCTGCACCTTGTTATCTCAGAAGCAGATGGGATCTGGCTGCGGGGATTAAGCAAAGTTGCGAGTGACCCCAGCCGCTGAAGCTAATCTCCTTAACGCAAATCCGGCACACATGACCTCCCACCACCCTCCCCGCCCCCACCCATTGCTCTGACAGTGCTGGGAAGGAGATAGTGATCATAGACTCCGGCTTAGAGCCACAGGCGGGAAACACGATAGAGACAAGGGGAGGTGCAGATCCTACAGATGTATGACTCCCCTGCAGTAAATCAACTGAAAAATAGGGGGGGAGAGACACAGAGAGAGAGAGAGAGGGGGAGCCCTCTAGCCCCAACTGCTGGCCAAAGGTTGTAACTACACCGTGACCGTTGACATGGGAAAAACGACTGGGGTATATCGGTGAATCTGGGCCAGATTGAACGGTCAGAACCGCCCAGAGGTGACCAGCCAGCAGCACAATTTGTCTGTCTCCCCTCCCACCCTGTACCCTACCGCACCACACCCCCCCACCCCCTCCCACACACTCTCTCTCTCTGTCCGCTGTCTATCGAACGCCCTCCAGGTGTGAAATGACACTTGTTCCTGCGTCACGGGCCACAGCAAAAGGGGCTGAATGGCCTCCGGTTCCTGTTGCAACGCTGTGACGGCATCGATGTCTCCACAGAACCGGAGACTTGTCGAAGGGAACGGGGAGCTGGAGCAGAAGGTACGAAGTCTGAGCGAAGAGAAGGAGATTTTGCAGATCGCTATCGATACACTTGAAGACAGCCTCACTCTGTTACAACAACATAACAGAGAGCAGGAGCAGGAGGTGAGAGAGACCGGGGGACAGCAGGGTATAGAGAAAGGGGAGAGACTGGGGAACCGTGGGATTATAGAGAGAGGGGACAGACTGGGGAACAGTGGGATACAGAGAGAGGGGACAGACTGGGGAACAGTGGGATATAGAGAGAGGGGACAGACTGGGGAACAGTGGGATATAGAGAGAGGGGACAGACTGGGGAACAGTGGGATACAGAGAGAGGGGACAGACTGGGGAACAGT